GAACAACTATGTGTGCACCTGCATTCTCGGATGCAGGACGGTTGCGCTCACACAAAAGCAAAGTTATGGAGTCTCCGTCCGGCGTGGGTACGGAAGCAAATCGAGAATTTCACGCTTATTTGCCGAAATGATCATACCCCGACCACCGGCGGCCATCTCCCGCAGGAAAACACTGCCACTTTCAGTGATTACTCCATCGATCTGACCCCGCGGCGGCTTGCCTTATTGGCCGATACGTGCGCGCTTATTAAATGAGAGAGCGCACACGCTTTCATAAGGATGGCAATGTGTAGCATCGCCGTTGGGGCTGATACAGAAAAGAGGGAGCTGCCACCCTATCCACTTTTTTTTTCTTTCTCTCGTACGACCCCACGAAAACGCGGTTACATCGTACTCGGGGTGGTGCGAAATCCCGCGGCGACACTGATTCGCATGGGCCGAGTGTTTCATTGTGTACGCAACCATTAAGCATTCTATTTGACTTGACCCTACGTACAAGCCACGTGAATCCATCCACCTACCCGCATTCGTCCTCTTTTTTTCTCTGTTTCGAATGATCTACATAAATTAAGTTTCCATGTATTTGCTCGTGTTCTCTTGTTAACCGTATCACGCGGTTAGAATGAATCGACAGATTTTCAATGAACTTCTAAGATATTTTATTTTAAATTTAATTCAAATTCGATGGCGTAAATTACATGAAGTTTCTTTCAAAATGCACGAATATAATAAAAGAAAATAAATGAATAAAATAGAAATAAATTTCATTTTTTGAACGGATGATTTATTCAAAAATACTGTAAAACTTCAGGCAGTATTTTATTCGTATAAAAAAGAAATTGTTTGATGATGAAGAATTTCAAATTTGTCTTCCAAGAGAAATTGAGAAATTTTCTCCTTTTTTAAGGAATTACTGCATCTAGATCTAAATCTAGATCTAATATCTATAGATACTTAACGGCATCGGTTGACAACGGGCTTCTTTTTTTCTCTCCCTATATTGTTACGATGCGCACCCTCGTAACGTTCCCCGTACATTCGCCCCTGCCATATCTGCCGGCACTCTCTTTGTTCCGCTCTTCGTCGCGCACATACTTCGCCGGCTTGTTCTTTTTTCCTCCTTGACGGCTCGCAGCCTCCGAAATGAACTGCACGAGGAGGAGGCTCGTGTTAAGGGTAAACGCGCGTAGAGGCATCTCTCTGACACTCCTCCCCCTCATCCATTAATAATAGCTTTAGAAATCCGTGCCTTTCTAACAGTCTCACGTCAAAACTAACACGGGGACCTGCCCCCAACTTCAAGCCACGCTACTAGCCTCTCAATTTATTCCCTGCATCGCGTATTAGATTGTGTTGTGTGTGCTCCTCCCTCATTTACTTAACGAAATCGGAACCAACTGCTTTAAAATCTGCCATTTATAAAACCACATACAGTTTTATATCAACGAGTTATATTAGCACAATGATATAAATCCGGTGCATTTTCATTATATGCATTTTTACATCTTTGAACACATTTCTCATACATTTTGTAAACATGTCAAAATTAAAGTAGACGAATAATTAAAAGCATAGTGTAAAGCAAAATTAGATTATATTTTGCACTGTTATAATTTATGTATTATATTTTTAAGTAATTTTTACTGTCGTATTTTCTATCAATAACGCGTGAAAATGTAGAATATCACTCGTCGTATTTTTTTAAAATTGTAAAGATATGTGTTGAAGATGTTACAGAAATACAACGAACGATATTCTGTCACGTTTCTGTCACGATTCTAAACCGAGAAATTGCTGAGGTCTGTCAGACTTTATTGTGTATTCGTGGGATCAAATATATATATATATATATATGAAGCCGAATTCCTTCGTCTTGCGTAAAGAGGAATTTGTAGCAAAACAAGTTTCAAGATGAACAGGACGCGCTCAAATTATATACGGCGCAGCAGTTACTACCAAGAAGGCTATCTAATCAGAAAAGATAAACTAACGTTGAAATTAGCACGTAAAACCGATCCGATTTCATTTGACAATACCGGATAGCATTCCTGTTGATACTTTCGTAATTAACACCGTTATCTAAGTACAACATCTCCTTTAACCGGATGGTCGACACATTATTGACAATATTACTCAATGATAAATTTAATTAATGAGAAAGTACAAATTAATATTATATTAATTTTTTTAGTTTTTTAGTCTCCATATCTTGTAACTTTAGACTCATAGCTTTTATTAGCATTTTTTATTACTTAGAATTTTAATTTCGTGATTATCGTTGAAAGATGATCTCAAATTTCTACAATTTATGTATAAATTATATTTAAATAATATAATTATCGAAATCTTTTTCAATTTATCTTAT